AAAACGGGGGCCTAGTTACATAAACTCAAGACTTACTCATTTGTAAAACAGACATCCTCGGGTAAGTGTGCAGTTCAGATGTGGGAGAACTGGCAGCAGAGGAGGAAGACGGGTAGACAAACACTCTTAGACTCATTTCAAAACTTTGGCATTAGTGGGAATGCTGTGTTCCTGTTAGAGTGGGGTGGAGAAAGAATGGAAACCGTTTCAGCCTGTGTACTTGACTATAAAGCAACCATGCTTCTGGAAGGGTTCTATCCTTAACGTATAGTACAAGCCACGCTTTAGCTAGGAAGAATCATGATTAAAAAATGGGTTTAAAATACAGACAAGCAAAAATAAAAAGAATCAAGGTCACAAAACTCTGAACTCCCTATGCAGCGAAAGCCTGAACCACAATTTCAAAATCAGCGTACACAGTATGTAAATATTTTAAATCTTGGCTGGTAGTTGTGAATGTCAAGCTCTAACCCTGACATGAACGCTCCAGCTTTGACTACGTTGCTCTCTGGTAAAGCTGATTGCATGGTTAAATTGCACATGCCAATTTGGAATCAGTTTCCTATCTAAGATCTCTCTCACTCAGTAGGTCTACAACAGAACTGTAATTTCTAGCTCAAGTAGATATGCCCATGTTATCTTGATCAGAGGTAGCGGGTATGTCTACCCGAACTGGAAATTACACCACTTTAGACAACAACAACAAAAATCTATGGACAGAAAGGGTGCATCTCTAGTAAAGTGTAACCTTGTACCCAAATTTATTTTTTAATGCACAGTTTAAAAGGAAGAGACGGTTTTTGCTGCAGGCATAATGTGTTGGCTTTACTGAGCCCTGACCTGAAAGCTGCTCTGTGGAAATAATGCTTGTGTCACCAGCAGCAGCCCTTAAATGGACCCATTTTCCTATCCCAAATATAAACAGATAATGATCAGTCAAGTACAGTAAGCCAAATTCTTCTCGCGTTTAGAGCCAGACAAGTTCATGGATTCAAAGATTTACTCGGGTATAAAGGGGATAGTTCAGCCCAATATTTCCTCTTCATGTATATGCTTAGTTATCAAGAGCTAATTTTCCTAACCTACATTTTTATGGGGGGAGGAGGGATTGTTTGTTACAAATGGACAGCTGCAGTCGAGACCATAACCCCAGTTGGCTGATGTGCACTGCAAGACATTTTGTGAGGGATCTGCAGTGATTCCCACGCAAGTAAAGAGGAAGGTCCAGCTCCTCATTGGAATGAAAGCAGTGATAGAGCTGGATGTGGGTCAGGTAAGCATCTAAGAGATTGACTGCCTACCTTGGCAGCTCTCCAAACTGCTGGATGGAGTGTGTTGAGTTGGGCACGAACTCTCACAAACAGCCCCTCTCAGGGTGCTGTGGCTCCTTTGCTTCCAGTGGTGGCTAGAAACTTGAAGCACAGTAGTATAACACCATTAACACTGTTACAACATTGCCTTCAACTCACTCCCCCTCTAGCTCTTCAGAACAGATGTGTGTTGCAATGCCGAGGCAGAGTGAAGTTGAACACCGGATACAATGGCAACCCTCAGTCTAAATTTCTGTGCATTAGAATGCTAAGTACACAAGAGAGGATTCCTTTCCTACCAGTACCTAGGAACAGGGGCACTCTCCCCTCTCCTATGGCCTCAGAGTCCATTCCTCTTCATGGTAGTTTTGCGTTCCAGGGCTTGGACACATCACCTGCCATGCAGCTAGCAGTATCAGAATGGAGAGGAGTTGGAGCAGGGTAGACGGTCGCTTTTCCATCATTCAGCACTGGAACATGGAATTGGAAGAAATCTCTTCTCTCCAAATCCAGCCCAAAGCTAAAATGGCCAGTGCTTCTCTCACCAAGCAAGCTGCTAAATAGAGCTTAGTGTCAAGCACTTCAGAGGGTCAGTATCTTTCGTCTTCCCCCCAGGACCTTGCTGGATAAGGGGTCTCAGTGTGCTGCTGGAAAGAGTAGGGGCACCTCAGGGGAGATCAGCTCTGTCTTCTTTGCCTTTTTGGGGACCATCCAAAACAGATGGGCTTTTCCCCCTCTACACAGGCTGAAGGCAGGTAGTCCACCTATGAGATACACAGTCAAGATGACTAGTGTCTTTTCAGTTGAGTTGTAGGCAGGGTATGAACATCCCATGATAATTTGTACCAGGTTTGAGGGCAAGATCTTTTGGTTACTTACTACAATTAGCTGATGTTTGACAGGAGAAGAGCATAGCCAACAGTGCAGGCTTCTGCATGCTCTATAGTGCAGGTCCCTTCCACATGCATCCAGAACCAACCTTCTCCAAAGAATACTTCAGTACCCTAGAGGAAGGGCCTTGCTCCTTGCAGTGACTATTCTACAAGGTAACGTTCTGGGCTTGTTACTGTAGAATTTTTGTCAGCAAAGCTGCTCTTCCTTTCCCCCTCAAACCCTGCATGCATCCTCTGGGTTTCACGTATTTCAGCACAGCTGCACCTGGCAGTTTGCAAGCTGTTAGGCTCTGATTTGCTACCACTGATGGCTTCTTGGTGTGGTAGAATGGAACCTGGCTTGAGGTTTTGAGAAGTGGGAGGGCACTGGTGGTGAAATTACCTCTGTTCTTGTTTAACCAAGACTGTGGGTGGACACCACTAGACCAAAGTGTCTGGAATAACCAGTCTGAGAAATGACTACCATGATGTACTGTTTGCAGGAGAGAACTGTACTGAATGTTCACTCCCCATCTGATCAGTCTGTGCTCTCTCTATGCTTGCAGGTGAATCTCTTTTGTGCCATAACATGCTTTTTTCTAGATGTGCAAACCAGCCAAAATAGTAGGTTACTCTCCCCCTCCACTTGCTCAGCCATAGCTGAACAGTCCCTTAGCTACACAGGGAGAGCTGGCCCCCAAGACACATTCTGCAGCTACAGTGCTTGCATGGCTCCATTTTCTCCCCTCCCTCACCTCACTGCTGCAGGACAATCAGCTCTTTTCTATCCCAATCTCCCTCTGTCCAGGATGGACTGACCTGATGCTGTCCCTGCTTGTCGTTCCTTGCAGCAGTTTGGGTTATGCTAGGAAATGAATGTGTTTTATTTTGGTGGGGAAAGGACTTTCCTTCTGGTGAAGGAATTATATTTGCACATGACTCAGGAGGCTCCTCCTCTGACAATTTTTGTTACCTCACTCATGTTGGTCAGTTTCATTGCTAACATTAAAGGGCCAGCATCCAGAGCTGCTCGGGCATGTTCTGTTTCCAAGCTCACGCTAAACTGCCCCAGCAGCCCTCCAATGTGGGAGACTGGCTGCTGCTGCTGCTGCTAAGAAACAGCAACTTTATCCAACAAAAGGCTGGAGCTTGTGCCACATCAGTATCATTCCTCTGAGATGGCTTGGGAGCCTACATGTCTCCCTCCCCCATTAAATAACACTTAACAGAACAAACATGGAAGCACCAACCTGCACTCTTGGTACTGTACATTAACAGCACTTTTGCAATGTTACCAGTGGGTTGCAATGCATTATTTTTTCCCACAGCTCACACCTCATCAAATGCTTCATGGCCAAGTAGTGCTGCTACATTCCTGGATTACCTTTCCCCACACAAGGGCCTGGAGCCTGCAACCCTGATTCAGGTGAGTAATCCTTACTCTTGCAAATAATTCCATTTGAGTAAGGATTTACTCGCATCAACAAGAGTGGGTTGTATGATCATCCCCACAGTGTGCATTTCCCCTCTTGAGTAGTAACACTCTAAACGGGGAGGGAGAGAGATAGGCCAAGGCTCACCTCTGTCTTGTTGACTAGTCTGTGGTGGCAACACAAACTCTGGGGCTGGGCCACATGCAGAAGGAACAGCAGTTGTGATTTGAGGCGTTGTCTGGCTAACTGTGTTTGGCTCTGTAACTGTAATAAACTTTGCGCTGTGCGCAAGGTGTGATAAAGATACTTACCTGCTAGGAAACTAGGAATTATAAAGGCTACACAGCCAAATCTCAATGTAAAGTAGCTAGAACAATGGAAAATACATTATGAATAAAAAAAGTATTGAACAAATGACAGTGACATTTGAGTTGAGTGCTTCATTTTTTTTAATTGTCCTACCTAATTCTAAGTCTCTCTTGTTATTTCCCTATACACAGAGAGGGGTCTTTCCTGATGCCAGTGGGGGATGATCTTCCCAGAAGACACATTATCTTTAACAGTGCCTTGGGGCAATGCCATCTCACTCCCCCTTTTTCAAACAAAAGATAAGGAGTCCTAATACAGCTTTCCCAATGAATGGGTTCCCCCTACCTAAAAATATTTGAGAGGGTAGTAGTGTCTATGTATAGGAGCACTTCATAAATTACAGGGTTAGTGGAAGATGAAAGACACAAAAAAGCATCTGGTTAGTTTAGAAAATCAGAAAGGGGGGGGGGGAATGTTATGGATTGAGGGTTAATATTCCTCCCATAGCATTTTAGGCCGAATACGCTGGCCTAGGAAAAATGAAGACTTCCAACATAACCTAAGTAAGGGAGGGTTCTTCCTCCATTTTAAACACTGGGTTCTAAGAAACCAGTGCCCAGTCTAAGGCATTGCTGATGGAGCATGCTTAATCTACAGATGGGCTCAAGCTGCAAGCCTGGGATCTGGTTTCAGACACCGTGTGTCAGGTCTGTTTGGAACTGGGTTTTAGATTTACAAAAATCAGGGCATTCTGCAGCTCCTGATCCTAGTTGGGTCTCTGAATAACCATCACCTAGAATTCTGGTTTGGGCCTGTCTAACTTTAAATCACATCAGAGCGATTTATGTGTACTCTGCAATTTATGCATAACCAAGCAGAGGAATTCCCTATGCAGAAAGCATGCCTAACTCAGTGAGTGCTTTATCTATTTATTTAGGAGCAAACAGTGTGGCAGATTCATCTTAACTCTTCCAAGCTGTAAAGCAGTCATTGCAGCAGGGGATATCACATTATCTGCTAGGAGCAAAAACTCCCATTTCCTGAAAAATGGCATTCAGCAGCATCTCACCCTCATGTGCCACTTCTACATATAGACAAATGCTTTCCCCAATAATCTCAGATTCTAAGACTAATGCTTCTCTGAATGAGAAACCACAATCACCATGCTTAAATGTTTTACATATAATAAAGCCAAACCCCCCACCTTGCTACTGTATCTGCAGCTATTTATATACTGTGTTAGTACAGTACTGTGTTTATAAGTGAAACTTAATTTACATGAGAATTGCTCTGCAATAATAGGTCACATCAGACTAACACCGAGTATTCAGCATGGAGAATAATTATCACAAGAAATAATACATTATTAAGGGCTATGGGAGAAAATAACCACTGTTTGACTCTAGGTGGTGCAACTGTCCCACTGACTTTCAATTAGTTATAAAAAGCTTCACAAATTCCAAAGCTGCCTCATCATTTTCCCATTTGGGAATAAGCAGTCCATTTCATTCGCTTGCTTACCTAAACCAGACTCTCTCTCTCTCCTCTCCCTTCAGGAGCTCCGGCCTTTAACTCTCTTCCGTTTGAGGACACTTTGCTAATTTCAGGGAGTATCCGTCTCCCAGGGATGCTCTCCTGTGGTTGTTGCAAGACACTAGTTGATAGAGGTTATTTCCATGATAAGCAAACACTATCTACTGTGTAAGTTAACAGAGCAAGGCTAATAGAGACAGCTAGAACTCTGACAAATAGTTGCCAAATGAAACAAACATCACTTCTTGGAATCGTTGCAGTTTATAGCAGGGAATCCCAAGGTAGCAGTGGTACAGCCTGAGGACATGGCTATTAAGGGTTAGTGTGTGGCAAGCTGGGCCGTAAATCTACATCCCATGAGCTTGCCACAGGCTAACTGGCTGTGTGAAACCTGCTACTGTGTGCTAAATGTTCTGCAGCAGGTCAAAGCACACTATGGAACTTGTATGCAGCAGGGGGTGCATGGCAAGCTAGTGCATGTAGATTGCTGCCCACTAATTCTCTGCATGCTGAGTGCTGATGTACATTTTTTTGCAGCTCTAAGCTGCTATGAACCTTCTGCTTCTCCATATCCTTGTCCTATGTTTGCAACAGCAGCCTACAGTCCAGGGCGGCATGGAGAGCAAGCATTTGAATGGTAAATAGCAAGCACTGGGGTGGAGCAGGATGATGATATTTTTAATTAAAGTGACTGTTCAGGCTTTATCAAAAGGTTGAGCACTATGCTAAAATGACCTTGCTGATGGCCATGTGGGTCAGGGTAATGTGACATACCCCTCAATGCTGCAGTGTCGAATTAGCATATTTTGCAAAGGAATATGGTGAGGGTAATAAATGATACTAGTATTTACAAGGCCACTGGATGAGAGTGGGGGGCAAAACTTAGGAAGGAGCAGTGCCACCCACACCCCAACCCCTTTTCCTCAGCATGCTTCAAAGGAGAATCCTTTAGCAAATGGAGTCATGAAGCTGAAGTCAAGGCTGTGCAATGTCCAAGGCAAGTGGAAGAGAATTTACACTTTGCCTCATTTCCTCCTGGTGCTGTAGAGTTTTCCCAAACCTGGCTGGAGTGACTTGGTCCTTCCAACTTCAGAGTTCCTGCAAGGAACAGAAGCCCACCCACCCCCACACCTTGTGATTAATGCTTCCTTAGCAGAGGGATGGTCTTGTATACCATGATAAGTGAGGTTACTTCTGCTCACAGCACCTGAGAGGCTGCATTGTTAAAAACGCAACAGAGCATACAATCAAACACAGAGATGGGGCTTAGAGTTCTAAACTTTGGCTCTGAACCCTCTGTGTGAAAATAGAAATACTGCAGCATCTTTTGGAAATAGCAAGGGGGAACAACATTTACAACACACTTCTGAAATAGCAACAGGTTTGTTTTTGTTTTAATTGGGGAGAGATGGTCAGGGTAGCATATACCACACCCAATGAGCAACCACAGCCAGACCTCAGTTCCCTGGTGACCTAGGGTGCATTAGAAGAATGCCTACAAAATGCAAAGGGCTGGACTATGGATAGCAGTAAAGGAAGACTGGTTCAGCACTAGTATGGGACTCTGGATTAACTGGCTGAAACTTGGGGATTTCGTTACTGACAAGTTTGCTTTCTTTCTGACTGAGAAGCCAAACAGATGTACCAAAGTTTCCCCAGCAAATTGGAGATCCCTGAAAATTGTGTTCCTGAAAGGAAATGCAAAATTGTCCAGAATTTCAATTTCACTTAGCAGCAGCGATCTCAAGGCTGCCACAGAGCAGGGAGCTTGCCACCCGCGAGGCCCAGCTTCAACTAGGTTTCATTGGAAAATGGCTGAGCAGCTGTACAGTGGAGAAACTGGGTTCAATTCCCTGCTTTACTATAGACTGTGTGTGTGACTTGAGCAAGTCTTTGTCTCAGTTTCCCCATCTGTAACATGGAGATAATAGCCCTGTCCTGCTTCACCGAGGTGTGTGTGAGGAGAAATATATTAAGTGCTCAGCTACTGTGGGGCACATCAGTGTCTATGATAAATACATTCCTGGCAGAACAAGGCTACAGCACAGCCAGATCTTTTGCTATTAAGATTTAAAAAATAATCTTAATGCACCCACAATCTGTACATGCTTAACCGCTTCCAGAGCCATGGTGGAAGTGTCGGACCCAAAGTAAGCCTGGGATACATAGACCCCTCCCCCATTTCTCCAAGCCTTTTGTCAGGATGACATAACCGCCCCATTTTCCTGCACCTCTCCCCAGTGGTTTTAGGGTGCCCCACAAGTCAGGGAGCAGAATCAGCCACATGTGCACAATGCTCTAGCCACACCCGTGTTTTGTATCAAGCTTGCGTACCTTATTGCAGGTCATGGCCCATCTGCTCTTGGCTACTCCTCCACGGGCACAGCGCAGTTTTCCTTGTTTTCCGACGGAATGGCAAGGTAGTCAGTCCTACAGATCGAAGGAGAGTGCTCACCACAGGTAAAAAGAACCCCGGGTGGGTGCTAGCTGCAAGCATAAGCTGAGACGCTTCAAGGGAAAGACCAGTTGAGAGTTGCTATGCTTTGAAAGTCCTTATTTTTGGAGGCACCGAGCACCTGTAACTTGGCATCTCTGACATGTCAGCCCTTAACTGAGTAAAGCGCAGGGTGACTCTCACCGCAGAGAACACCCCTTCCGAAAATGTTTTCGGTGTGCTCCTTCCTCAAGGGCAGGTGCAGAATTTGACCCAGGATAAAAATCATAAGAATATTTTCTCCCCACTCCACACAAAGGGCCTTGTTATCTGATGTACAAAGGAGGGACACATACAGCATGGAAATAGTGGAATAATCTCCAGCTGTGTCACGCTGGAACTGTCTTTGCCTCAGTCTTTAAAAACAGTGTGTGATACTTATGATCATGAGTTAGGCAAACTGCAGGTGGGTCCTGGGAAAGTGTCTCCTACACCGTTATGACAAGGTGCCTTCCAATACCCCAGTTATGGGGCACTTCACAGCTTGGCCAACATGCCTTCACTCTGAGTTGTAACCCTGTCCCTTGCTAACCTAGTGTATAGCCTCTCTCAGGAAAGACTCAATCCTGCTACATTTCACAAGGATTCTGAGATGCAGCAAGAGAAATGAATACAAGATCAAAATGCTTTTAATGGTGGCCAGATCCCCTGGTGAACCCTCTGAACCACACCTCAGTTTTTTCTGCTGCAGGTGAGAAGCTCTGTAGGATTTTTACTTACGCATTTTCCTGTACAGTCTCCTCTGCTTTGGAGACCTTCCTGTAGCAATAGACCATTTCTATCAGCAGCCACAAGGTGAGGAAAACCAGGAGAATATACATCATAATTTCAGAGATGACAGATGTGAAATCTTCTCCAGCTGTTGGGGAAACAATTAAAATAAATCACTGATCTCTTAGAGGATGGTGCAGTACAAAATTGGTTCTCAAAGAACCAGCCCTCTCCTGTTTTCAACCAGATAGAGTTACCTGCAAGAATGAGCAACAGAAGATACAGGACTGTAGGCTTAGGTACCTCTCTTATTGGAACTAAGGCCAGCAGGCTGAGTCCGCTGCAGAAAATGGGGGCAGGGTCTCAACTGCCATTTGAACGAGTAGCTGTGAAGAAGCTTAGGAGGCTGTAGCTAAATGAAGAACAGAGCCTGGCAATATAGCTGCATGTCACCTTGAACTGCAGCACCTGAGCAGCGGTCTTCTGCTCCTCTCCCCAAACCAGCTGCCGGAAGTGGAGGAAGAAGCTCAACCTGGTCTGAGAGGGGCAGGGTTTGGCTATGGGGAGACTTCCATCAGCTGTTCCACCCTGCACGCTCGTGGAAATAAAATATACATGTACTCAAGTTTGCCACTAATTCCAGTTATGTTCTCCTCAGAGCAAGCACATGCATGTACGCACACACGCCCCCCACCCATTTTAACCGATCTTATCCTGGATGCTGATTTGTTTTCATGGTGCTTTCTTTTTCTAACCCCTGATGCATTGCTAGATGTCCTGTGCAGCAATGAGGTGACTATCAAAAATGAAGACAGAATCAAAATGCTTTTAATGGTAGCCAAGAAATAGCAGGACTTGGAGGAGAGAAGGGAAAGATTCACAATCAGGACAGATATGGTGTGGAAACCCTGGCCCACTGAAGTCAGTGACACCACTCCTACTAACTTAGTATGGCCAACATTTCACTGATTGAGGGGGAAGGGAGAAATGCACGTAAAGAAAAGAGGAATGCACAGCTGGAGGCAGGAAAGAAACAGAGGGAGATGGCGAGAGATCACACCCAGTGGGGGAAGGAGGAAAAGAGAAGGGGTGGAGGGAAGCCATCACCAGTTCATCAACTACACTGCTGCTGCTCCCTGCTAGAACGGTGTCCTGAGAGCCACTAGGGAGTGGTGTGTGCACGGAGCTGAAAAACAGGAAGCCCATTGCACTTCCTGCTTGGTACAGCATGTTTCTCTGGTTGTTCCCCTGCCCAGGAGCTGCTGGATGAGGCCAGGACACATTTCTGAGCTCTGAAACTGGGACTACGCCCAGCACAAGAGGTGCAGGGTTTCATATCGGAGCCCGTGTCATACTTGTAAGAAAGTGTGGCTGGGGAAATAGAAGTATCTGCAAATGACCTATTCCTTGGCAGCTTCCCCACCCCTCACAGGGATACCACTGAAAAGAGCATTGTCTGGGTTTGCAATAGACTTGGCCCTTGGCAAGGCAGGTCACACCCAATGGTTCAAAGCGTTTCCACCAGTCCTCCGTACCCTCCTCTACCACAGTGAGATGGATCAATCTGGAGCTTGTGAAGAGTGGGCGATGAATCTCAAAGTCAAACTCCCGGGTGACGTTACAGGTGTAGATCCCCGAATCATTCAAGGTCACATTTAATACAGTGATGGACACGTCCTGCATGTCTTTGCTCCCGTTCCACTGTAGCCGGCCACTGAAGCGGCTTGGAAATTCATGGTATACTTTTCTGTATTCATAGATCTGTAGAGAAATGGGGGGAAGGGAACAGTCACCTATCAATTTGTGGATGCATCCTACTCCCCACCCTGGGATTCCCCTCTAGCTAGGAACAGTTCCCAGCTACCAGGTGGTTTAGAGTTTCTCTTCCTGAAGCATCAGGTGTTAATACTTCTATAGTGCTCTTCATCTGGAGATCTCAAAACACTTTACAAAGATGGCAAATAGAATTATTTCCATTAGACAGGTGGGGAAAATGAGGCACCAATAGGCAAAGTGACTTGTCCAAGATGAAAGCAGGTCTGAGGCAGAGGCAGGACTAGAACCCTTATCTCCCAGGCTAGTGCTTAAGGCCATTGGATCATGCTACCATGTTAAATACAAACAATTGTTTGTAAGCACTGGAAATTGTGGTCCAAACAAAGGTATTGCAAGAGAAAACTGAAAGTGTGATGATAAATCTAATGACTTATTTACACAGGGGGACAAAGCTCCAAGCCTGTATTGGTGGGTCCCACGCTTCCAGGCAGATTGAGTGGCCTCAGAAGCTCACTAAGGCCTCCCTTTCTCAGTACAGTTTCAAAGGTCAGTTTCTTGAGCTACTTTCATCACAGGACAGTATGGGAGGTGGGAAGGTGGAATACCCACAGTCTCTGTTGCTCCTTAGAGCTCAGTAGGCACAGTTTGGCCTCCTGCCTGGACCAAAGTCTGCTTCCCTTCTCAAGGGGATCTCTGTAGAGCATGGAGGGAGAAGGGAACTGCTCTCTACTCCAGGTTCTAGCCCTGGGACCCTAATGGTAGCAGCTGTTGGCCGCTTTACCTTCACCACTGACGCTGCTTTGATTCCCTGGGCCATTTCCTTGTGGTCCCCTTTTCCTAGCTTCACCCTTACCTCAGGATTCAGCAATACTACCTCTCCTCCAGCTCTTTCTACCTGGGCTTCTCTAGAGAAGAGTGCGAAAGGAGAGCTTTTAAGCAGTATGAGTGGGACCTTAATTGGTTCCAGCTGTCTCCATTAGCCTAACAGCCTTAACTGACCCGTTGCCAGTTAATTGAGGTCAGGTGCCAGCATTAGCCTAATGACCTTAACTGGTTAAATTGGCATCAGGTGGCTCGACTGGCTTGGAATAGCCTTTGTTTGGCTATTCAGGGAACAGTTCACTCTGAGGCTGAGATACCTGCTTTCAACTACTCTCTTATATTTTTCTGGTCTGAGTCCATCACAACAGCCATGAGCATTGGAGTCCTGATTTTCACCCTGTGCTGAACTGGGCCTCCCTTTCTGCACGCTCAGCTTTATGAGTGTAAGTTGTTCTGCACTTGAGGTCATTTTGATGAATGGGTGTATCCATAGAGCAGGTCCTTCTGTGTCTAAATGTCCTAACTTGTGCCCACGAATAATTGCAGATGCAAATCTCTCCCCACTACTATTTGCACCCACAAATTGCAGGTGCAAGAAGGGAGGCAAGTGTTTAAAAATCAGATTCACCCCCTCTACTGACAGGCTTATGGGCTGCCTATTGGAAGCTCAGATGAGAAGCACCGAAGGGTGGCTTAGGAGGTTGGTGACAGCATGTGGACCCTCTTGTCAGTCCCTAGTGGGTAACAGTCCATGCCATTAAAACACTCCCTGAGTCACTCATTAGCATGCTCAGCAGATAAGCCAATCCTGAATTCCCTTCTCATCCTTCCAAGTGGTCCCTCCAGATCAGAGCTCAAAACAGTGGGGCCGTATCTGGAACTCACCATTGCCACTAGCTTTGTTTTCTGGATGAAACAAAGACTTTGCACGTATGAAAATATGCAAGAACTGCATATAGTCAGGCCTCCAAGTACTCAGGACTAAGAAACCTGTTGCTTCTTTTCCTTCATATCCACATCCGTCTATTTTAACTCATTTAGAAGGACAGTTCCAACACCCCCGCAGTCAGCATTCAAAGGAGCACACAGAGATAGTCTAACCGTGCTTCTTGAATCAGATGATGGAGTAACTTTCATAGGGATGTCACTGTGCCATCATCATTAAAACAGCAGGTGACAGAGCTATGTAGCGCTAAAGCCTGGTCTCGGGGAATTCAATGGCTATAATTCTGCGGACTTCAATAGGATGAGATTTGACTCTTAGAGAACAATCGTTGGGCATGAAGGCGAGATCTCGGGGTTAAATTCTGATGTCAGGAATTGGGACTCCTAAGTTCTATTCTTGGTTCTGACATGGCTTTCATATGCCTCCAAATGTATATCTAGACTGTTCAGCCAACTAACTGGCACATCATAATGGGTAACAGTCCATCCTCCAATATTCTGATTGTGCACTCTCCACCCACGTTTGACTGTTTGCATCGCTACCCTGCAGTCACACGGTGAAGTTTGAGCGAAGCCAAATTACTGTATTGTGGCTGCTCCTCTGGCAGTCTCAGCCAGCAGCCTGTTAAACCTAGTCTAGGATCTGGGTTCTGGGGGAAACACATCAGTTGCCTTCTCCTGTAAGTAGCATAAAGCAAAACAAAATTAGGCAAAATGCACAATGCAAGCTTGCACTCTGCCACTGACCAACTCTGTAACTTTGGGCAAGTCAGTTCACGTTTCAGTGCCTGTTTCCCCCTCACCCTTCAGCTGCCTTGTCTATTTAGGCTGTAAATTCTTTGGGAAAGGGCCTGTCTCTTACTATGTGTATGTACAGCACCTCACACAATGTGGTCTTGCGCTCCATTGGGCCTTCTGAGTGCTGCTGCATGACACATAATCAACTCAATTTATGGATCAGTGATATTAGGAGGAGACAGTTACGAGACAATGTTTGCAAAGTGCTTTGATATCTCTGGCTGAAAAGTGCCATATAAATGAAAACACTGTAGTGCAAGGGTGGGGTTAAATAACTGAAGGAGCATTGTCATTTTCAGTATTGTGTGAGTGGCCTCTGGACATTTCTGTCTTCCTCAAATCAAACTTCAGATGTGACACACAACCCAAATTACACTTGCTTTTCTTATTTTCCTTGTGTGACCTTCACCAAAACCGTACCACAGAACCCAAGTTAATGTTTTCCCAGGCCTTTTTACCTCGCTCCCCCCATACATTCCCTGGACATTTCCCCCATACTAAGGGGTATGGTAGCAATGAATTAGGTTAGCAAATATACATACCAGCTCATCTTTCCCCCCTTCAGTCTTGTAGAACCATTCCACCACAGTGTTTGCAGAAACCTCTTCTCTCTTCATGCAGGAGATACAGAGTAGCTTCATGTGACTTCCTTGGACAGCCTCCGTCTCTGACGGGACTTCCACACAGACTGGAGAACAGACGCCAACTGAAGACCATGGGGGCAGAATAGCAGCAGATGGAGAGAAACACCGGGATAGAGATGGAGAAAAACAAATGATCTGTTATTCAGGTCTCTTCTTAATATAGACACATAATAAACCTCAGTGGAAAACCGTCTGATTTATTACTAATGCTCATGGACAATGGCTAAAATTCTAAACTGGCAAGTTTTACAAACCTTCCTTCTCCAAGCTGAACTATATAAGTACGTAATAATTAACGTGTGATTGCTGCAGGCAAATTCTTCTCGGCGGCAGCAGCTGCTTTGCCACATTTTAAGTCCCTTTTTAGAGTAATTAATGCTACTTTAGAGAGGAAGCAACATAGTACATTCTCTCCCACCCACTAACACTTAAGCATGTAGAGAACTCTGTTACAGCACTTACTGAATTCTGTATTAGAACAACCTCTGCATCCAGCCTCTAGGAGCAATTGTGCACTAAGTGAAGCGGGATGAATGTTTCAGGGTGATGATGTGTCCAAACCTGACAATTAGAGTTCGCTAGGCTCAACTCTTCCAGTTTTGTGGTTTTGTAATTTTTATTTAAGCATAAGAGGCTTGGAGTCAGGCAGAATTGGCATCTGGGTAAACTATAGATTCGGTGTGTATGCTAGCCAAAAAGGCTTTCAATTAGGTCAACACAAAAATTGGCAGGTGTGAAACATTTCCCTCTGTAACAAGGCAGAATGCTCCTACTCATCAAATGCTGCTATGACATAATGTAAACCCATGCTGCCCTGGGATGGGCAATATCATTTCTAGTGTCTGCTTTATATATGTCTTCGCTCTATCAAGATGCTGACTGTTACCTTCATCCTCTTTCCTATACATGGGGTCTGGACTTGCCTTTTGCAGCTGATCCACCTTAATTAAATATTATTTTGGCTGACAAAAGCCTGCACCGCCCTCCGCAGTCCTGTGGTTAGGCTATTCACCTAGATTAGGAGAGCCATGGGTTTAAAGTCCCTGCTATGATGAAGGACTGCAAAGAGCCTTGTCTCCAACAACCCGGGTGCATGCCCTAGTTTCTGGTATAGGGTGATCGGGGGCTTCCATGCTTTTGCTTGTAGCTTGACGCTGTTCCACATTAATTAAATATTGCTTGGGCAAAAGCAAAGACAGCACTCCCTCTAGAGTGCAGGGGTCTGGGTATGTCCTTGGGCTGTGGAAGAGGCAGGTTTACATGTGCTCTCTAGCTGCCTTAACATGTGCTCTCTAGCTGCCTCTGCTGTGGATAGATGTTGACTGCAGCCTTGGTGGGTGTGCTGGGGCTTTGCTGGTTAGCAATGGGGGGGCTCCCTAACTCTTGCCTGTGGAAGATGTTCTACGTTAGTTAAATATTATTTGGGCCAGCAACTAGGTAAGGCTTCCTCTCTAGTCCACTGATTAGGCTCTGTGCCTGGGCTGTGAGATGATATGGGTTCAAATGTGGCTGCATGTCACTACCCTGATACAGTACAGTGACTGGGACAGTTCTCCTTCTTGCCTGCTGAAGCTGTTCCACTTTAGTTAAATGTGCTCTGGGCCAGCCTCGCCGCTACCCTCACTCTCTGGTCCAGTGGTTAGGATACTCGCCTGGGTTGTGGGAGATCCTGGTTCAAATCCCCCAGCTGCTTGTTCGGCAGGGATTTGCACAGGGATTTCCTGCCTCCTAGGCGACCGTCCTTTAGGGTGGGCCATCCTTGTCCGAACCCCCTCTCTTTCTCAAGAGGCCATTGTCTTCTTGGGACGGAGAGGGGATTCGGACAGGGATCGCTCACCAGTGACTCTCCCCAGGAGGTGGCGGCCCCCAGTTCACACCCCTCAAAAGAGCAGGGGAGTGCCCTGGGGTCTGCCACAACCTGGGCGTGTATCCTGATCACGGTGGACAAGAGTGAGAGGGGGGTTTTACTGCTCAGCAGCAAAGCCTCTTTAATTAAAAGAGCAAGAGGCCCTGTGACAGGCCTCTTGCTCAGCTAGGAGGGGTCTCCTCTCACACACCACAGGCCCGCCTGTCCTGCAGAGCGGGGAGTTGAACCAGGGTCACTCACAATCCGAGCGAGCACCCTAACCCCCGTACCATAGAGGGACTTGAGAGCTTACCTTGCCCCGGTTAATATATAGTTAAAGTGGAACGCTTGAGCAGTAAGAGATTGAGACACCAATCCCATCTCAACTTACACAGAGGGGATTTGAACCAGGAGCACTCACAAACCAGGTGAGCACCTTAACCCCCCTACCATAGGGGGCTTGGAAAGTTTCTTTTGCCCTGGTTAATATATAGTTAAAGTGGAACACTTGCACGGTAAAAGATCAAGGCGCCAACCCTTCTCAACACATGGAAAGGGGGTTTGAACCAGCAACCCACTGGTTCAAGAGCAAGTAGCCAAACCACATGACTACCGAGGGAAACACAAAGTAATTGGCCCAATTCTCATGTAAGAGTTACTGAAGGTGGCCCACCTTCAACAGAAAAGACAGAGTGAGCCCCCACATCCTACTACTTCCTAGCCAGGTATTTACTTGAGAAATAAGTGCTCAACTCCCTTCTTAATGAGAAGAAATGGGAGGAGAACCACCAACCTCCCACATGCTAGGCACACACTCCAACCACTGGACTACCCCAGCCCACTTGGGCTACTTTTGGCCCAATGAATATGTAACAAAAGTGGCCCTCCTTCAACACAAAAGGCTAAGAGAGTCCCCACGTAGGAAAATCACCTAGCACTTAGGCCAGTCACCTGAGAAGCAGGAGCTCAAGGTTCAAATCCCTTCTCGGCAAGAAAAAAGTGGCTTTGAACCCCAAACTCCTAGATGCTGGGTACACAACCCAACCACCAGACTACACAGGCTTGTTGGCTAAGTTTGTGGCCCCATGTAATGTAAGTGGAACAGCGTCAGCAGAAAAAAAAAAAGTCACAGGGGCCCAAGCACCACAGGAGAACACCTCTTAGTCCAGCAGCCGGATATACACTTGAGAACAGGCTGTTCAAGTCATTCCTCAGCAAGCTGGAGGAGGAGTTGAACTAGCATCACCCACGCATTGGGTAAGTGCCCAAACCACTGGACTACAGAGGGATTCATGGAGCAGGTCTGGCCAGTTACAACTTAATGAAAGTGGCACAGGCTCGACAAACTACAACAAGCCTCCTCAGGCCGTCCTTTACTTTAGTATCGGGGTTCACGCCTGAGAGAATGCAGAGCCCTCCTCATCAGGCGGGGAGAAGGCAATTGACCCAGCGTCTTCCCCTCCCAGGTACCGACCTCTGCTTGCCGGCCACGGCCAGGAACCCCTCAGGTGACTTAGGTGCCTACCCCATTTAGTGTGAGATGGCTAGGGACCTGCCGAACGCCCCGCAAAACAACCCGGGGGAAGGAGGCAGAGGCCTCCCGTGTAACTTTTAACCTAGTGGTTAGGGGCCTCGCCTGTGATGTGGGAGGGGTGGGGGGCCCTGCTTCAGGTTCAGCTTGAAAAAGAGACAGTTAAGGTTGGCTATGATAGAGGTCTGTACAATCATGAATGCAGTGGAGAATGTGAATCAGGATGTGTTATTTACCCCTTCACACCATGCAAGAACCAGGGGTCACCCGCTGAAATTAGTAGGCAACGGGTTTAAAACAAACCAAACACAGTACTTCTTCACGCAACGCACAGTCAGCCTGTGGAAGTGGTTGCCAGTTGACGTGTAGGCAAAAACTATAAGTGGGTTCAAAAAATGAATTAGAAAGTTCCTGGTGAATGGGCCCATTAATGGCTATTAGCCAAGACAGTCAGAGATGCAGCCCCGTGCTCTGGGCATCCTTAAGCTCTTGCCAGATGCTGGGAGTGACCGACAGGGGATGGATCGCTTGATAATTGCCCTCTTCTATTCATCGCCTTGGAAGCATCTGGCATTGGCCACTGTCAGAAGACAGGATACCGGGCTAGAAGTATCATTGGGCTGACCCAGTATGGCCATTATTATGTTCTTAATTTCCCCCTCTGCCTGATGAGGAGAAGGGATTTGAAAAGGGCTCACCTACCGCCTGGATGAGTGCCCTAATCATTGGGTTATGGGCTACAGTGTTGGGGGCACCCTCAGTGTTGCCTCTTGAAGCCATTCCACTTTAATTAAATATTATTTCAGCCAGATAATGGGCGAGGCTCCCTCTCTAGGCCAGCTTCTTAGGTGGGCTGTGAAGAGCTATTGGTTCAAATCCCCTTTCATAGAATCATAGGGTTGGAAATGACTGCAAGGGTCAAACCTTTCTGCCTGTTGAAAGGGGGGGTTGAAGAGTGGTCTCTTGCAGCCCATATGTGTGCCCCGATGATATAGAAGTAGCTTCATTAAGCCAGGATTTCAATACTGTGTTGCTCTGGGGTAAATATTGGGACTAGCAAGACTACGTCCCTCTGGTAATTTCCCATTCAGACTTTGACAGCACCATTGGCATAAGCACTCATGGGAAATTCCAAAGAACATGTTGGACATTTCTTGGCACCAATGAGACATTTCCAAAAAATACAAAAAAAAAATTGCCACATTTGTAAAAGCAGCAACAACCCTCTAGATTTCAGAAGTAAATTGAAATAATTGCAATACAAATTCTCTTTGATTTACATGACCCAGGGGTCACCCGCTGAAATTAGTAGGCAACCGGTTTAAAACATCAATCCATATGGTCTGCATGCTTTACGTTTATATGCTTTCAGCCCCTTAGGAACAACTGAATGTTCAATCAACACATATAGTATTTTAAAACAAGAGTAAAGAAGAATAAGTAAAGCACACACAATTACTATAGAAAAACACGGTTTCTGTGATAAGGCCACTTAATAATATCCTAATTGATGCAATTAACTTACTATCAATGCCATTTCCTTCTCTCTGTCAACCAAACTAAAAGCCACTATTAAGGCTGGATTTTATTTGAGCGCGCGTTGGAGGAGGCTCTCTGGGAGAAGCACGTCGTTAGAGAAACATGCTACAGCAGCCAAGCTCGGGGTGGCTTGGAGGAACCCAATCCAACCCCACAAAGAATGGAGGCACCTACCCCATATAACCAACAGGACTGAAGAGAGACAGAAACCCGTGGCGAGAGCAGCCATGCTTCCTAGTGGGGATGGTTCTCAGGCTGGATAAAGGCTCTTTCCAAAAAGGATCCTTCTCCCCACGCCACGCCGTGCCCAGGTGCAACAGGGTATCAGGCTGCTAGCGGATCCGTGCTTGTCTGCTGTGACCGGTCAGCGGGGATCAAGCTAGGGACACGGGGGAGGGAGGTGTGGGAGCAGGGAGCTCAGTGTGAGTTTAAGATGCCGTTTTCTTGTGGGAAGAAGTCCATGCAAGATGCTGGCTTGAACCCCAAAGGGGCTGGCGTCAGCACCACGGACAGGTCTCCCGGGAGCCGGATCACTACCCCTCAGCCCCCCCACTGAGCGAAATCCTGGACAGCTCCACTCAGGAGGCGCTGGGCAGCCTGCTCCCTGCCGGGGTCGGTTGCAACCCTTCCTCCTCCTCCCGGCCAGCGGTGGTTGCTAAGAGCAGCGCACCATGGGGATGCAGGCTCCGCGCACGGCACCCGCTGCTGTGTGCTGAGTGCCAGAGGGACCGGCTTGGCGCACGCGATGCAACAGCCAGGGCCGGGGGAAGGCAGCTGGGTCCCCCCCCTCCCCCCAAATCAGATCCGCCCAGACCGCCCCAGAGCCCGGATCCGGCAGGGTCTGGAGCAGCGGCGGCTGGGCGGGGCGCGCCCCTGGCCTGGGATCAGCCGGCTGGAGGCGCGTTTCTCTCCGCCCCTCCCGCGGGCCAGGTGCATCCTAGCGCCCTGGAGCTGGGCAGCCTCCCTGCTACACACGCTTCCCCGGCAGCATCAGCACCGAGCCCAGCCTTCCCGAGGGACGCTGGCTCAAGCCAAGCATGCGCAGACACCTCCGTTCCTCTCCCAGCCAGAGAGACAGACCCCCCCGCCCCCGGCATCAGACAGCAGCTTCCCATGGAGAGTCAAGCCTCTGCTGCTGCCTCACCTGCCCTGCTCTTCCCCCCGCCCCAGCATCCGTCTAGACACTCAGAACCCTCTCTCCAGACTAAGGATAACGCCAAAGCTTTCTAGCGAATAGCTAGGGCGCATCCCCCCCTCCTCGCCTTTAGTTCCATCCTATCAGAGCAATAAGGCCTCCAATAACAGCGAAATCCTTTTTCTGGAGCAAGCCATGCACTCAACGATCAGCGTCAGCATGTGCTGCTCGCTCTGAAAGTAATCCCGACAGGAGAGGAGGGGGGGTGTTGTGCGGTAGCCTGCGCTCCTGTCTCATTTCTGGGCATCGCCAACAGAACGGCAAGAATGTGGCGCTTGCATGTCACCCCACGTGCCATCAGTTTAATCTGCTCGGATGTTTCCCTTGCCTGGGGCTTTTCACCGAGTGCTCTAGAGTCATCCGAGAGATCACTAGCTTTGCATTTATTCTTCCCCGTCTGCACTTACACGGCAGCTTTGCAAGGAGAGCTGGAGATGGTAGCATCACCTGTCCCAGCCCCAAAATAAAGCTGGGGGAGGAGACATGAGCTATTTAGCCACTGGCAGGACATAGGACGTCCTCACCCCGTGAGGAGCTTAATTCTAACATTTGGAAGGCTCTGAAGGTCATTAATGTAACAGTAGGAAATACTGGGAAATCCTCTCTTCTCATGTATCAGCCTGTTCCCCAGCAGTTAATGCCAACAGCAGGCTGGGCTCTCTGCTCTTGGAGGGGAGCCACAACACCCACCATGTATTCCTCCAATGCTGAAGAGCACCCAAGGTCACAGCTGAGCAGATCTGGGGAAAGCGGATGCTCAGTAAATGCTCCCTCTTTCTTTTTTTGTTTCCCTTTTTTCCCTTCTTGGAAGAGGTAGGATAGGGAGCAGCTGCTTCTCTGGCAGCAGGATGAGAAGCACGGTCCTTTTAATTAATCCTACTGCACCCAGAATCATAGGTGTAGTTTGACTTCTGTATGGGGGGGGGAAGGGGAGGGAGAGGCAGGCAGCTCCAGTAAGGCCAACAAGGCCACACCCCTGTTGTGCTAGACAATATCCCAAAATATAGAAGGTGCTTGTAATCTAACCATGTATGGTGAGTCACGTGATGCCCTGTGCTGAAGTAGTGAGGGATAAGACGTCGTCATGGTGTTCCCAGATAAGAGGTTCCTTCTAACCCACTCCCTCACCCAAAGGATGCCCTTTTCCAGTTTAATGACACTTGCAGACTGAACAAGGCTCAATGGGAGGACAATTCCTAGCCAGTAAGACCTGCAGCACAAGGTAAGACATAGTCCATCACACTGAGCATTAAACCACCGGCTCGGCTCCCTCAGTGCCCGGGGGCATGCTGCAGACACAATAACTAAAGGCATATCTACATCAGAAATTTCCTGGAATAGCTATTCCAGTTTAACTCTCCATGTGAATGCTCTTCTTCTGGAATAATGATGCCTTTTTCAAAGCAGGCTAAACTAACCCAGAAAAAGCCAGAATAAAAGCATTCACATGGAGAGTTAATCTGGAGTTAATCAACTCTACTTTAATCAAGAATAATTTCCCCATGTAGATGAGCCCCAAATAAAGGACACAGGATAAGGAGCCAGACATTGCCGTTCTCCTAGAGCAGGGGTTCTCAAACTGGGGGTCGGGACCCCTCAGGGGGTCATGAGGTTATTACATGGGGGGGTCGCAAGCTGTCAACCTCCACCTCAAACCCCACTTTGCCTCCAGCATTTATAATGGTGTTAAATATATAAAAAGGTGTTTTTAATTTATAAGGGGGGGGGGGGTTGCACTCAGAGGCTTGCTATGTGAAAGGGGTCACCAGTAAAAAAGTTTGAGAGCCACTGTCCTAGAGATATACAGGATTTGTCCCCAGTTCACCTGCCACAGTCTAAATTATGCTTAGTGGAAGGATGCTGCTTTGTAGGGCTTTTTATAGACATTCAGAAGCTATTGAATAATGTTCCTGGCTGTCTCATCTGACAGCCATGTGTTTGAAAAAGTGCAGTGGAATTAACATCTGTTCTCAGCAAGCCAGGTGCGCTGCTGGAAAAAACAAGTCCCTGCAAAACACAGGACGCTTGGAATAGCCAAGCAGTATTTCATGTGCGATAGCTGCTCCAATTGCAGCCGCCTTACAGAAGCCTGACAGTGAAAGAAAGGAGGCCTGCCTGAGAACATGCGATTAAGAGGAAGCAGAGAATCAATAGCGCTGACTCAGTTAGCAGCCGCTAATTGGCTGTGCACTTTCCTATTCCTTGGTATGGTCCCTCCATCAGGCACCTGACCTAGAGACATCTTCCTGGGAGGAGGTTTCATATGAATGAAGCCCTATTTCAACCCTAACCCTGGATTCCCCAGCTTGGGAGGGTGAGGGTGCAGAAAGCAGAAACACGTGTCTCGCTGGACTTAACAATATATGGTCAGCAACAAATGACTCATTAAATAGTAATCATGTGCGGTACTCCCACCATTGCCATTTTCAGGCTTAAAGCACTTTGCAGTTATTAACGAATTAAGCCTCTGAACATCCTTGTGAGGTTGGTGTTCTTACCCCCGATCTACAGATGGGGAAACTGAAGTGCAGAGGGGCAAAGTGGCTTCCCTGAAAGAAATGGGTGGCAGAGCTGGGAACAGAACCTAACATGAAAATCCCTGGGCCAAATGGGCAAATGGAGACTGAATTCCCCTGCCCAGCTTTGAGGGTGGTGGTTCCTCCAGACATCCAGTAGGTAAGATCCCTTCGTTCTTGCTCTTCCCATGCTACAGACTCATCTTCTTGGGCCTAGTGGGGACTTATTCTTAAGTCCTCACTTGTTTTTAACCTCATGGGAGACAGAGAATAAACACCTCCCGCATGCCAACTGGAACAGCATGCAGCCAACTGGTCACCGCAGCCCAGTTTCTGCTACAGCTGGAGAGTGATTCCATTTCTGCTACACCTAGTTTTTGTCTGCTTGTCCGGGTTTGCTGAGAAAGAGCCAGAGGATACACACACCTTAACACAAGCATGCCCCTCCCCACCTGCACATGCACACAGAGTAAATGAAGGATGCTGAGGCAGGCGTGGGTGTACCCCATAGGGGTGCTCTGCAACAGGCAACCCCCCCACCCTTTCAGACATTCCGGTGGGGACTCAAACATCGAGGGGATACAAATGCTGAATGCTACCAAAAGCAGCGCCACTTACCATGTCGGGGTTGCTATGGCAACCCACCCAGATACTGTAGCACAGGAAAAAAGACGGAAGCTTTTGTGTCAGCATATTAAGGTCAGGAGATAAAAATAAATTCAGCTTAGCTGCCCCCCCAGCAAACTCCCTTCTTCATTATGCCCGTTGGGCCAGGACATGAAAGGGGCAGTGCACAGCCTGCATGGCTTGCTACTGTGTAATGGCTGTCCAAGCAATGCTCCCCGACCCTCACAACGATCACATTAATGTGCTTAGACTGAATTGTTATCCTCATTTGGCAGACAAACATCAGAAGGCTCCTTCCCTGAACAGCCTCTCCTGGCTGCCAGGAGACAACACAGACCCAAACCTGTCACCAACTGCTCACAGTCAATCATTCCAACATCAAGGCCACTGGAACAGCGCAATGGCCAAATAGCAAGAGGCGATGGCAGTGCTACCTCCTGATGTGTAATTAATGCTGGGGAGAATGATCTGGAAGGAAGAGGATCAGATCCCCCGTGTACACACGTACACCACTGCCCTTAGAGAGGAGTCTATAATTGGGATGGAAGCAGTAAGGCTCTATAGAAATGGAATAGGGTCAATGAGCATTATTTTCAAAAGCTACAGGATTTAATAGAGAATGGCATCCTTTCCACGGTCTTTTAAAAACACAGTTTTCTATAGCAGGGATCTAATTCTCCAGTAGCTTCTGTAGGACGATTTGAAGTTTACAATGCGCTATTAAATCTATAGGTTTTTTTCATTCACAAGGTTTTAGATGCCTTCTCCACACACAGCCAAAGCTACATCCCCATCACACACCCTCCTACATGCAGGGCTGCCACTGTATTCTCCATGCATGTACATATTACTAAGCCTACATCTCTATCACACTACATCTAGCCACTGCACAGTGCTATTTCTCCATTCTTCCTGCACACACAGTTATAG